CGCGGGGGGCAAGTGAAAAGCCCTATCGGGGGTGTAGGGGGGGGGGGGGACTCATCTGTACCAGGCTCACTCACACATGAAAGTCTCTGCAGTAATCCAAGGATGCACACGGATCCGTGAACCAGTCTTGAGAGGCTCTGTGCTTCTGGCAACCGTCCAATGTGCAGCGATCAACAGTTGAAGTTTTTCCTGGCATGGAGCTGCATGGTGTTTGTGTGGGTGGGGGGCTAAGAATTCACCTAGGGAATGCATACCTGGAGAGAGTGTGGGGGTGCTCTCCAGGGGGAAAGGTCTAATCTTGGAGGGAGATTCCTGCATTCTGGAGTCAACCCTATGGGAGCAAATGTAACCCTAACTGGCAAAGGGACTCCAGCTCAGTGGCTGTCTGAATGGAGAATGTCTGAACTGGGAGTTGGGGAATCTCATCGCAGGGTGTGTGCCTGCAATATCTGAGCAACTGGGATGCTGTGGCATTCATTCGGGGTGCACACTGATGAGAAGATGGAAGGTGGCGGCGTGGGGGGCCGGTCTGGGTGTCCCCCGTCGTCGCCCGTCCGCCTACAAATGCAGCCGGGCCCCGGCGGGAGCGGGGGCATTGGTTGCTGCTGCTGCTGCTGCTGCTGCTGCAGGAGAAGGAGGGAGGCGGCCGGCGTTGCTCGGCCCCGGGCAGCACGATGGGCGTGCGGCGCTGGCTGCTGGCGCTGCTGCTGCTCTGGCTGGCTCTCAGCCCCGGCTCCGGAGGTGGGTGGCTGCCTTGCATGGCCGGCGGGAGACAACCGCACTTGTTGCCCGCCGGGGGAAGAGGTGGGCGGCCGGCGCGGGGGAGCCTGCGGGCGGGCCCCCGGCGCCGGGCTCTCTCTCTCTCGCGCTCGAGTCCTGTCTGGCCCTTCCTTCCTTCCTCGCCGGGGCGCACAGGGGGCGCGCAGCGAGATGGCGGGCGGGCTTTGAATCGGAGGGCCGGGGCGGGAGGTCGTGCAGCCGGGTTGTGCACACGCGGCGGCGCCCCTGGGAGGCAGAGCCTGTCGCTGCAGGCTGGGGGAGCCTGGCTAAAAATAAAGCGGTTTAATATACCCTTCCCTCCCGGTGGGCGGGTTGGGATCTCCGGATGAGACGGGAGGGGGCTCCTGCAGGCCGCTGCTCCACTGGGCACCCCCAAGTGCCGCTTACATTTGGCGTACTTCCATCCCCCCCATAAATGTCCAGCACCCTCATTGTGTGTGTGTGTGTGTGTGTGTGTGTGTGTGTGTGTGTGTGTGGCCTTCGGACTTCACGAAATCGTGACCTTCCCTGCCGCCGGCGAGGGTCATGCCTGTAGCAGCTGTTCCCTTTGGCAGGATTTCAACAGGTGAAGCCGCTCCCCGGGCTGCCCGTTCGAGCCAGAGAAGGCTAGACCTGTTGAATTCCTGCCGCCGTTCGAAAGCTCAGAGGGAGGGATGACGGGGCTCCCGGGCGCCTGGCTCCGCAGCGGAGGAGGTTTTTTTTGGCAAAGCGGCGGACACCGGGAGGGTCTCTCCAGGTGGGGGAGGGGCTGGCCTCTTGGCCGAGGCCTTCCCCACCTGCCCTGAGATGCTGAGGAGGGGGGGGGGCGGCTCCCCGGAGCGCTTGGGCCAAAGCAGCAGCTGACAGGAGGGAGAACACCTGACTCTCCACTCCCCGTCAGCAGATGCCGGAGAGCGGCAGCCAATGCTGGCGCTCGGCACGTCCCACTCTTGGCACCGCCGGGTCCGGCTTGCCCAGCGTACAGCTTTCGAGGGCCACTTCAGGGCCAGGCGGTGGGGGAAAGAGGCTGGCACCAGCTCGCTCCTTCCAAACATCGGAGAAGGCGGCGTTGCTCTCCAGATGCTGCCTGTGCTGTGCCCCCCCCCTGCTCCGCTGCCCAGTTTTAAGGCGGGGTGGGGGGAGGGGGGTCATTTCCGAGACCCATTTCCAGCACCCAGCCTAGGAACTGGTGAAGTAAATAACACAGTGTCTCTGAGCATGGACAGAGTGGGATTTGGCCCCCCCCCTTTTTAAAAGAGGAAACTGCAACCCATTCCTGTTGCATCTGGATGAGAGGTTCTGGAGCAAACAATTTGACTTCGAGGGAGGCGGGCGATTATTATGCTTTGCTGTTTTTCTGGGCACTTCCCAGTCATCGTTCTGGCATCCTTTTTTTAAAAGAGGAAACTGCAACCCGTTCCTGTTGCATCTGGGTGAGAAGTTCTGGAGCAAACAATTTCACTTTGAGGGAGGCTGGCGATTATTATGCTTGCTGTTTTTCTGGGCACTTCCCAGTCATCGTTCTGGCGTGGCTTGAATCTTTCCCCTAAATGGTACACTCTAATATCCCTACACCCTAATAGGCTGTGTGGGGAATCCCCAGGTATGGAGCTTGCAGGCACCAGCAACTGAGGTGGCATTCTAGTGGGATGGAGAAGTGTGGGGGGGGGCAGGAATCAGGGGGTCAGGGACCGAGCAGTTAGTAAAAGCAACTGATGTGTTACAAGGTTAAAGCACAGGGCTCACTATTGACTCCCTCAGAGAGGCGAATCCTCATCGTGTCGCCGCACAGACTCTGTTGGTCAAGTTCACTAATGCATAAGCCAAGTCTACACCGTTTTAACCCCACAGAGTACGTGTGTCAGGTTTCCTATGTGCTTCAGATACGTGCAGCTAGAACAGGAAGTGATTTACAGGTATGTGTATTTTTCACTGTGTGCACATGGCAAACCATTGTTACCCCTCATATCCTGACTAGCATTTGTACGGGGCTTTAGAGTGCTCACAGTACTTCACATATCTTGTTAGGATGACAACCCTGCAAGGTAGGCCAGTATTATTATCTGAGAGATTACAAATGGCCAGAACCACCAAAAGAGCTTGTGGTAGGATGAGAACCAAGCACTTCCTGGTTCACAGGCCAGTCTCCGAGCCAAGCATTCTTTACACAAATACTTGCACCGAAATGAGACCCTGTGGTGTAGTGGTTAGAGTGTTAGACTAAGACTTAGGAGACCCCAGTTCAAGGCCTCACTCACTCATGAAGATCACCAGATGATCTTCGGCCAGTCAGTCTTTCTCAGGCTAGCCTACCTCGGAGGGGTGTTGTGGGGATAAAACGAGGAAGGGAGGACTGAGTTCTTTGGAGGAAGGGTGTGATAAAAACATGGTGGATATGTTTTGCGCTGTGAAGAAATACCCCTGAGTACCAGCATTTTGAGGGGAGGTGGAGTGGGACCAAGGTGGTAGAATGGACAGCAGATGGAAAATTATATTTTTGGAATGTCTCCATATGTTACAGAAAGCTCCATGCAAAAAGAAAATCGGCACAGCAAGCAGAGAGAGAGAGAGGGTTGGAACCTTCCTCCTCCCTAGTTCTCTACTTGGGTGGAGTTTTTTATGCAAAGGAACAATCAGAAATGGAATTTACTCCCTATAATTTGAAGTGGGGCTCTCTGTCCTACCGGCTCCTTCTCCAGCATGTGTGAACCGGGATGAAGCAAGGCATGCTGGGAGGCAGAGTGTGAGGGAGTAAAAAATAAGTACTGGGAGGAGGCCAGGTTGTACCCGAGCCACTTAGAAAGACAAATAGTGGCTTTAATTAGTGGTGGAGCAGGGGAGGGCAGCCCTGCCTTGCTCAACCCCCCCCCCCTTGCACTGGGCCCCTTAAGATAAGCCAGGCCTTGCTTGGGCAAATGTGCGTTCCTGGAGGTGCGCCTGTGTGCCTACGCATGGCCTTTCAGCAAAGCCACCCTCGGTATAGTATTCAGTTGGAAGTGCTTGTAAGAAACAAAAGGTCTCAAGTGACCTGACTCATGGGCCCGCCAAGACAGGGGAGCGCATGGCGATTGAAGGCTTTTCCCATTCGGCACTTGCCAGTAAGTAGATCTGATGGGAGTAAGCACACCGTGTTAGCGCTCTGAAGCCCCAAACTGTCGCTCTTTCTCTGAAGTGGGTGCAGATGTCTTCGGAGGGGATTTCCTGGATTAGTGGCGGCATGCTATCCTTAAAACGGTTGATTCCCCTCCATTAACTCCACAAGTAAGAGCCTGCATTTTGAAGAAGAGCAAGAGGGGAAGAAGATCCTCTTGGGGGTCCCTGCAGGGGCTGATGTGTGAAATCCAGACATGGATTGTTCCTCTGCTCTGCCGAAGGAGGGCACCTACCTGGCGTAGACCTGTAGCAGAGCATTTTGTGTGCCTTTCCCCAGAAACGCCAGTTCCAAGCTCTGCATCTCCAGTGTACATGTTTGAATGGAGAGTAGGGAATGTGTGTTAGATGGATGCACTTTGATCATGTTGTCAGACTCTGTCAAGTCTGGTACAAGGACAAATGGCTTCCCTCCCCTTCTTTTGTATAGAGACTGAATTTAGATTCTGATGCAGGGTAATCTGGAACCAGAAGCTGGTTGCAATTCTGAGCGAACTAAGGTGGAGTAAAGGGGATATTGCCCTGCCCTGGATGGCCCCGGCTGGCCTGACCTCATCAGATTCGGAAGCTAAACAGACTTGGCCCTGGTTAGCATTTGGATGGGAGTCCACCAAGGAAGTCCAGGGTCGCTTCTCAGAGGAGGCGATCACAAACCACCTCTGAACATCTCTTGGCTGGAAAACCCTATGGAGTCACCCTACAGTTGCCTGCAGTTTGGCAGTACTTTCCACCACCAAGATATCTTAAAGGGTCCCCCCCCCACTCCTAGTTTTCTAGGCATTTGAGGTGTGTACACTTCTAGCCTACACTGAAAGTCTTCTGTACATCCAGGAAGGAAGGAAACTTGAAATGAACCAGAGATGCTTGCAGTTGTAATCATGAGTCTGTACCACTTCACAGGCTTCTTCGACCAACCACTGATCATGAGACTGCAGGGCTTTGAACAGGCACATCACACGAAGAGGGCACGAGTGGAAACTCGTTGCTACAGCATAGTGCAGTACGGCCACTACAACGGATGGATTTGGAAAGAAGATGAGATTGCCTGTATCCATGGCTAATCTCTTAAAACAGCCAAAGGTGTGACCTCTCTGTTGTCAGAGATGGTGTACCACTGATTGACAGATGCTGGATTTACCAGGAGGTGGATATAACCACCTCCTTTGCTGGGGAGCGTACTGCGGAGACAGTCCAAACCATTGTTTCTGGGAGATCATTTCCACATGGAAATGAAACATGCCTTCTAACCGAAAAGAAGAAAAATAGTATTTTTTCCCCTAAGCAAGACAACAGTATAATCTAGGCGGTGTACTAATCATATCCCCAATCTCTTCCATCACTGACTCAGCTTGGAACGTTGCCACGGGCCCCCATTTAAAGAAAAGAGCCTCTGATGCGAGGTGTCTAGTTCTGGTGCGTGTCAGGCGGACGCCTGCAGCCATGCAGGTCTCGCCGATGGCCCTTTGTTGACAGGAATTCAATGTTCTTCTCTCCCCCCCCCCATCCCTATAACAGCAGGGACAAAGCCCTTTTCATGACAGTAACAAACCCCATCCTGTCTGTGTGGCTCAGTTTAGAAAGCGGTCAGGACAACAGCCCCCCAAGAGGGTCAGAGAGCCATCTCTGCAGTGGCACGACCAGCAGGGGGCATCTTGGCCTATACCGGCTGACAGCCGGCTCCTGTATTGGCCGCTGTACCTTTGCTCCCCTCGCCTTTGTGGGCAGGAGCCATAGGAGGAAGACGGCTGCATTCCCTCTTACGGAGAACCTCTCCCATAGAAAATCCTGTAAGGTTCCACTTCCTTTTAAACCCCCTGAAGTGTGTTTGCCCA